AAGAAAAACTTTTTTAGAGCAGTGGAGGAGTCAGTATTATTATATGGCTCCCCAACTTGGTCACTCACCAAAAAACTGGAATCCAAATTGGACAGAACCTACACTAGAATACTAAGGGCGGTTTTGGACTTGAACTGGAAGGCACACCCGAGAATTAACAGACTGTACGGGAAGATGCCTAGAATCTCCTCAATAATCAGGGAAAGAAGAACACGTTTCGAAGGGCATTGCTACAGAAGAAAGGAGGAGCTAGTCGGCAATGTATTGCTTTGGGACCCTAAGCATGGAACGACAAAAGTTGGAAGACCTGTCAAGACATACACAAAGCTACTTACAGAAGACACTGGTTTACATCTTTCAGATCGATCTTCCTAATGCTATGGACAATAGAGAACTGTGGAAGGATGTAGTCAAATCGGTCCGAGTTACTCGCCCGATATGATGATGATGACATAGAAATGCATTGAAAAACAGTGATTCATGGACATTGAGTCAATACCTGATTTTCTTGGAGTTCAACTCAAAATTTGATTTTTCGTAAGTTGTATTTCCTATTCTATTATATCAAATTCGACATGAAATAGTAATTTGACGAGAGTCCGTGGTACGTAATATGATTGAGCCGTCTCATCAGCTCTTTTCTCCTAGATATAAATACCTAAATCCTATCCTATATTTATATTCTGCAATGCGCCATTTTAGTAAATTATTTCTGGAAATTTTTGTCTTATTTGGACAATTTTCAAGTCCATATCATTTTTAAAAACGTCGACAACGAAACACTTTTATTCCCACAAAGTAGCATAATATATCTGCACTGAGAGTTAAAATTACTTTTCATGAATTTCATTTTTTCAGTTCAGTTCGTAAAAAATAACTTGAACTTTTATGAAAGTTATGAAAAAGTTAAATTCGGGCTCTGCTCGGCCGAGGAGCCGAAACAGAGAGATTTTCGGTTTTCCAAGTTTAAGTATCAATAATATATCACAGCAGTATAATTTATTATTTTTAGTCTCTATAATTTTAAAATATATCGATAACGTTATCCAACACAATTTTATTTATACAGAGTAGGCCATGCATGGTACTTACAATCTCCCTCTCCCCAAGGATAAATATCTAAATCCTATACTATCTCTATTCTGCAATGCGCCATTCAAGTGGATTACTTCTTGAAATTTTTGTCTTATTTAGATTGAACTGTTTTTAAACTCCAATTCTCCAATCAAGCTAATTTCTTATTTTTACTGAGAAATGAATGAAGTCTCTATCATTTTAAAATACATCGATAACGTTTTGCATGACAATTTTATTCCGAGTACGATTAAATATTAAAATTTCATTTTTTCAGTTTAGTTCGTGAAAAAAAATTTGAATTTTTACTGAGAATAAATGTTTCCGAAAGATGATGAAATTCAGAAACACATCTAACAAAAAAAATATATAAGTAAGCATAACAAAAAATTCACCAATTCTTATTATTCACACACAAGAAAAATAGAATGCAAACATGGGTGTGAGTAATAAAACTTGCTTATTGTAAAGCGAAGACAAGGCTGTAATTAATTTTAATTGTGATAACCTTCTGACAAACTTGAATACCCTTTATTTCCTTCAGGTTGCAACAAAACTTTAATTTATTGAAAATCGAAAAATATGCCAAACTTTGAACTAAAATTCAAATTGAAAACTCGGACCCAAGAGTTTGTGTAAATCAACCTTTGATTTGTAAAACATTTCTCAGCAAAAAATATTCCATCTAATGAGCTTATTTAATCTGGGAGTAATATATCCATCAAAATATATGAACATAGAAATAAATTAAATAGACATGGGGCATCAGAATACTGACAAAACAGGCTATTAGACTCGAAATAATTGTAAAAACTATGTGTGAAATATTTTAGTCAAGAACGGCTCTAAAAAAAAATTATCTTCGGCACAACTTTTACTGTAAGTGCTTTTAATCGAGAAACGACTTTCGGGAAAAGTCCTGGTCGATAAAAAATTCCATTTCGGGCTTTGCTCGGCCCAGCAGCCAAAACAGAAAAATTTTTGGTTTTCCAGGTATAAGTATTATTAATATATCACAGAAGTATAATTTCTCATTTTTATGAAAAATAAATTAAGTTTCTATCATTTCAAAATACATCGATAACGTTTTGCAAGACAATTTTATTCATACAGAGTAAGATTCAACAATAAATTTCAAATTATTTTTCGTGGATTTCATTTGTCGAGGTTAAGTTCTTAAAAAATATTTTGAACTTTTACAGACAATAAATTTTTTCAAAAAAGGATAAGATTCAGACACACATCTAACAAATAAAAATATCTGAGCAAAGTTAGTGAAACGTACACCACACATATTTACACACAAGAAAAACGAAAACAGAAAACAAAAATAAATATTTTGCCATGTTTTGCGAGCGAGGGAGGTGGTATACAAAATACAAGACTTGGTTATTTGAAAAAGAAGACAATGCTGTAATTGATTTTGATAAATTCCTAACATTTTCTTATATTTTGATCAGGTCACGCAGACATTGTAAATTGTTTTTCAGTTTTTTTTAACGATCAAATAACCAGAAATAAAATGTTTTGGAAAATAACCAATTTAATGGCGTTTCAAAATAATTCAAACATACAAAATATACAAATAAAATAGAAATAGGTATAATAAAAAAACCACCAATCCTTATAACTCACACACAAAAAAAATAAAATGCAAACAGGGGTGTGGGAAATAAAATTTGCTTATTGTAAAGCGAAGACAATGCGTCAAAAATTTATCTTTGGCACAACTTTTACTGGAAGTGCTTTTAATCGATAGACGCTATTCTGGAAAGGTACTGGCCGATGAAAAACTTAAATTCCGGCTCTTCTCGGCCCAGGAGCCGAAATAGAAAGATTTTCGGTTTTCCAAGTATAAGTATTAATAATATATCACAGATTTATAATTTCTTATTTTTATGATAAATAAATTAAGTGTCTATAATTTAAAAAGGATACAAAATATACGCCTTGCTTAGTTCAAAAAGAAGACAATGATTCAATTTATTTCAAGTTTGTTAAATTTCTAACATTTTCTTAAATTTTGTTCAGGTCACACTGAAATTTCAAGTTATTGTCAGCTTTTTTAACTATTAAATAACCAGGAATAATTTTTATTGGAAAAATATCCTATGGCGTGATTCAGAACAATTCAAACATATAAAATATCAGAGCAAATATAATAAAAAAACTGTCAATTCTTATAATTCTCACAGTTAAAAAATAAAATTTAAGCAGAGGTGTGAGTAACAAAACTTGCTTATTTTAAAGCAAAAATAATGCTGTAATTGATTTAGGTTTTGATAACTTTCTTTCAGGACACAGCGAAACTTTAATTTGATGAAAATCAAAAATTATGTCAGATTGTATTTTCGGTAAATCAACCTGATATTTGTTAAAGAATTTTCAGCAAAATATTCTAATTAATGTGGTTATTCTATCTGGAAGAAATATATTCATCAACATATATAGACTTAGCAATGACATTAAGAAGATAGGAAGCTTTAACATCGAGAATGAGCTCTCGGACTTTACTATTGAAAATAAATCCGAAAACTATGTGAAAAAAATTTCAGTCAAGAACCATTAACAACATTTACACGGCTTTTTCATAAAGTGCTTTTAATCGAGAGACGACCTTCTGAAAATTTATTCGTTGGTGAAAAAGTTGAAATAGCAAAAACAAACGAAATTCTGCAAAATAATGAAGAAAAGTAATATAAATTCATTCCAATCGATTATGTGTATATCAAAATTATTATGTACTATTTTTGTTTTATGGTTATTCAGGTTTCAAGTTTTCTAAACAAATGTAATTTGCATAAAACGATTGATCGCAAAATGACAAACTTTACAAAGTACAGGGCTGTGGAATAGAAATTGAGCACGTCACCACAAGAGCGGGAATCTGAATTTGTCGAAATTGTAGATTTTCAATGGTTTTAAAATAAATCAAAATTATCTCATAAACCCAAATAGCATTATTTTACTCACCGTTCGTAACTGTTTATTAAAGAGAGTTTGCATGGTTTCATTATTAAAATTAGATTTTTTCAGAGTCGAGTATCCAACATTTTTGTAATAAACTGAAATTTCTTGAACATGGAAAATATATTTGCATATATCAAATCGCAAACATTTCAAGATTATTTACATTCACCCAGAAACTAATTGGGTTAAAAGAATAAATTGAAATTTTTTTCGAACATATCTGAGTAGAAATCTGTCAATGAATGCAGTTTTATTGAAATTCCTACCCAAGAAAAGCCCGGTAGACAATTTGAATAAGTGAGCTTCAAATCGCATCGTTTCAGCATATAGGTATCAGGTTTGATTTTGAATTGATTGTGTGGAGTAAATAAGAGAACATGGTCACCGGTTGATTGCCTTTTTCCAATATAATTTCAAATCTTATTTAAAATATCACGCAAACATACAAACTTACAACAAGCCGATTGTGATCTTATTCTGATCTGTGTATCAAAGTTAGAGCAGAGCCAAAACAAACGATTCTTAGTTTTCCAAGTATGAGTGACTTCTGTGCAGAGCCATGTTTAGAGTGGGAATTTGAAACACCTCAGGCTTTTACGCAAACTCTATCATCGTGACGTTTTGAATGCATTCATCAAATAAAGGTATCGGTAAATATTACAAGTGATAAGTAGTTACTCTACACCCCAACTGTATCTATATGAGGGTTATACACCGCATGCAGGATATATTTGCTTCATATGCTCGTTCAACTGTGGGCCGTGAAAATAATAAGTTGGGATGTAAATTAAGCTGCATGTGTGGCTGACGAATATTCAAGAATATAAGAGCATATGCTTGTTCAACTGTGGGAATAGTAATTCAAAGTTTCAACTAGGCTACTAGGGTGAATAACAATACTCTTATTTAAAGTCAAGTGATTCTACATTTTCTGTTTATCAATTCAGTGGACACAGTTATAATTCATTCTCACAGATGGCTCCGTGAAATTTAGTGGAAGGAGAATCATTATAAATCCATTGATATTTCGGATTTCGATCGACCTCAAAAACAACAGTTGTGTGCAATACACCGGAATCCGTAGTATCAGGAGACCAAACCGCAGTTGGCAGAGTCATAGCTTGGCCCGTCGTTGTATACAGCTGACCGTTCTGTTGAAATAAAAATATGTTTTGGGGAATATAAAAAATGACAATTATGACATATTTTAGTTGGGTAAAGTTGAACTAGTGATCCATGCCATATGATCTGACAAAGCAAAACAAACTTATTTGGTCTGCAGTAAGAAACTAAATGAAGCGTGACATCATCACGCGATTTTTCGGCCCAGCCACACTTCAGTGATTACTGTTGGTGAATTATAAATGAATGGAACAGACACATAAATCAAACTGTTTGGATTATTTATTTCTGATTCAGTATCAGAGCTGTAAAGTTGAAGCGTTTCACTGGTGTTGGAGTCAAATTGTTGAATTACCCGGAAATATCACATAAAAGTTTGTGATTGAATTTTTTGATAAAAACTGAAAAACGGCTGGCAAACGAATTTTTTTAAATTCTGTTGAAAATCAAATGTAATAGCAGCCTGGAGTAGTCGGTGTTATAAATGGCTCGATTTTACCTTCTCTCCTATGCTATAGCTATATGCGTTTAACCTCAACATAAAATTTATATGGTAATTCGGTAACAATAACCGCCACATGATTCAGACTCAATCTACCTTGTAAGTCATTCCGGTACGAACAGTAATCCATGACTTTCCATCAAGAATCAATGATCGTAAATAATCTCGAAGCATGTTGTAGTGTGTGACGTCATAAATGTTAGCCAGTTTGTTTCTACAAAGAGTTTCAGCGACGCTTGATGTGACGTTTCTCGTTTTATAAAATATCGCTCGAAAACATTTTGCATCATAGACAACTCCACATTCTGAAAGAAAAAAGACATTTTTAAAAGAGTTTATAGTAAGATAATTGTGAAACAACCATCAAGGAGAATATATAATTTCGAGTTTAAATTAATTACTTTTATTCAGGATAATTGTCTTTTGTCCCTTCAGTAATTTTGATCATACGTCATTTTATTTGTTTCAAGAAAGGACATGCAAACTCACTCACAATTAAATTAAATGTTTCTTAGAGCAAAGTCGCGCAGCCACTGAGGTATTGAAGCTAAAGAAATGTAACAGATTTAGGGAGAATAACACTAACGTAAAGGTGTTTTAACGGCCTAACGGGGTTTAGACTTGTTTGTTAAATGATTTGTTTGTCGAGTATTAGCTTATTGCAATGTAAAGCGATGCTTGTTGCAACAAATATCGTCTCAATTCCATACTTTTTATAACTAGAGAAATCGGTTAAATTCAATCCAAGTAAAACTATCACAATTACGAGGTTATTATTCAAGTGATTTTGCCGTCATTACGGAGCTGATTTTGGCCGATTAAGTGCAAGCCTAAGCCAATCCCCATTTAAATAAACAGGGATATTGAGCTACCATATAGACAGCAGGTTAGGGATGGATATATGACCCAGATTCCTATTTAAATGGCCTTCCCCATACAGGGCTATTGCACTGCCATATGGACAATAGGTTAGGAATAAGGAAAGGACAGCAAATTAGAAATGGGGATGGTTGAATGATCTTTATCGATATGGTAAAGAAACTTACTTGTGCACACTGGTGTTGTAGACCATGAACCGTCAGATTTGCATGTTCCCGTCAGTCCCCCTTCCAAAATGGAATCATTGCTGCAAAAGTAACTGACCTCCTGATCCTCAGTGTACAAGTCCTGCTCAGGAGAAATTGTTCCGTTCTTAAGATTTTTCTTCGCACATGGCGTAGCTGCAAATAAATCAAATATTAAAAAAAAGTTTAACTTGACTTGCAGGGTATTTGTTTGAGATTATTTTAAATTTCTGAAATTTTTCTTCACTCTAAGTAAGGCTTTGTAAAATCAGCCACTGATACAGCAGCATTGTCTACCCCAATTTATCGACATGACTGAAATGGGGTTTAAACCCGAGACTATCAGAGAGATCATTCAACGCTCCAACAATTTTGCCGTTGACTAAATAAATCTTGATGTACTTACCTAGACTATAACATTCGGCGGAATTCAAAGTTGTTATGTTGTCTAACTCAACATTTCCGGATGCCTCGAGCTCAAGTTGGACCTGAATGAAAAAAGATTGAAGTTTGAGAAGGGCTGCGAGGTAGAGTCTAGAGTGGAAGTTAAGAATGCTTTCATTAAAAAGTTAAAATCGAACTTTCTAACTACGAAGTCAGCAACCTGGATTTCTAGGTTTGAGTAGGGTAATCAGAATCAAAAAAAAATTTTGAAATTCATACATGCGGTGAGGAAAGTTGATAACCCGGCTATATGTGTTCCCAGTTAGTAAAGGGATTCTGGAGAAAGTACAATAATGCAAAGAAATGATTAGAACCCTTTGCCTGCTGATGAAGCTAGACTATTCTCCACCAAAATCTTAGAAAACATTTGCATGTTAGATGGGATTCGCATCCAAAGCAATTTTGAGTCAAATAGATTTTCGCTATCAAGTGTGTTACAAACCTTGGTATCTGTAGAGTTCACTTTTTTTAAAATGAATTTCTCGGTTTTCCAGGAAGTCGAGGCAGAAAACGGCCATATTGCTTTCCTAAAAATCACAAACATATCATTGCTGTATTCACAAAGACTTCCAAAATGAATCAAAATTAGGTAAATTCTGCTTTTCCCGGCATCCTCATTTATATGGAATCTATAAATAGTTCTTTTCATGAGTGCATCAACTTTAACTGCTTCAAGTCTCATGCCAGAACTTGGCTCACAGATGATAATCAAAGCAAATTATTTTTTCTGGAAAAATCTAAAACAGGGGTGTGCAACCTTTAAAATTTGTATTTTCAGTGCCGCACATTAGTCTATACTGGCACCATTTCGCAGGTCGCACGAATTTTTTACTGGGAGGCATTTTACCCGCTGGCGACATGTTGCACAATCCTAAAACACTGAATTTCAAATTCCGTTTATGGTTTTTAAAAATAATAGTTGTGAATGTAGTAGTGAAAGCGACGAATAGGGTAAAATAATAAATGCAGTGTTAGCTACTTACGTTACAGTTCCATTGTAAGCCTTAGCCACCAGTTCTCCGTCAGATGTCCCTTTTATGTCGACACTCATGCATAGTTCCTCATTGCCAGCCAAAGTCTTGGGTAAAGATCTGATTGTACCATTACCAGCAAGTACGTAACCTAGGTTGAGAAAAAAAATGAGAGGGTAATGATGGGTAATGATGATAAAATGAATCGGGATAATGCTCAAGTATTTTTCGACACAAGTTCTTTCGATTCTTTTTCAGTTATCAGTTTGGCTCAACATGCTAAGCATTAGAAATGCGCGTGCCATCGCACGTCTAATTAGCCTGGGTGTGTTCGCAGTTTTGAATCCTGTGGGGAATAATTTTAACGACAGGATTCTCCTCACCGTTCATGCTATCAATGGTTGGTCAGATTTTCTCAACCATCATGTCCATGCATCTGATACAAGTAAATGGCTGACTAATCCCATACCCAACATGGACTGGTAACTGGACGAAAGGCTGTGGTTCGCCATGGGTTTAAATAGAATAGGATTTGGTATTCCATATTTGAATGAAGTATTCTAGAATAGTAATGTATTCTAAATTTTCTATCCGTAGTCAGAAGTTCCAAGCACTCACTTAGAAGTAAGAGAGATTCATGTTAGAAAAGTTAACAGCTCTTACTTAAAAGTAAAGAAAGCTCGTCTCTGAGAAAAGTTACGGGCACCTACTCAGAAGTAAAGGAGACTCATTTTGAGCAAATTTACAGACACTCACTCAGAAGTAAAGAAAGATCATCTCTGAGCAGAGCCACAGAGATTCAATCAGAATTTAAAAAAAAGACTAATCTCTGTAGCACAGTTACGAGCACTCCCTCAGAAGTAAAGGAGGCTCATTTGTAAGCAAAGTTACAGGCTCTCATTCAGAAGTAAAGGTGTCTCAATTGTAAGCAACTTTACGGCACTCACTTAGAAGTAAAGGTGACTCATTTGTAAGCAAAGTTACTCAGAAGTAAAAGTGACTCATCCAAGCGTTTCAAATAGAAACAATACCTGTAACTTCATCATCTCTGTATTCTCTCTGAAATGTTCCATTAACTCTCGTGTAGCCGCATGTAGGGTTGGTTGAAGACTCAAAATCACATGTAAGATCGACTGAAAAACACAAAATAACTTTTTTAGAGTCCGAGCCTCGTATTCTGGCCTAAACCGAATATTATTTCATTTTGAACAGGTCTGTGAAATCGGATGAAATTTACAATCGACATCGGGTTGAAACAATTTTTATCTTCGACTCAGCTTTGAAGTCCAGAGATAATTAAATGTCGGAATGTCAGACTTTCAATGATCAAAGTCAAAATTATCAATAAAAAATTAAGAAGCAAGTTTGATAAACAGTCTACTTAGGAAGGCTTGTATGGATTGGACTTAAGAGTAAACTTCTTCAAAATAAGAGTCAGATTAGGAGTTAGCTTAATTTTTAAGGTAGGATTTCCAATAGATGCACCTGAAGTACGTGAGCCAAGATGGTGAAAACCGAACCATTGACTAGTCCCCGAAAATTGGAATAAAATTATGGCCCGACCCTAACCTGGCAATATTTATCACATGTGAGTAAAAAGCCAATAAGTCAGTTTAATCATATAATGAACCACATCAGTGATCTCATTATCAGTTCATATTGGATTCAGAAATAGTTAAGTAGTTATTTGTTTCAGATACACAGACTAGATAGTGATTTTCCCGATGATTACGCCATCTTTCACTTCCCCGGAATTAATTTGTAAATCTTATCCTTCATTCCGCCAAAGTCATATGAGGGTCAGGAATAACACATGCCAAAATGGTTACGCTACGCTCACTAGAATTACATGCGGTACTATATTATATATATATATATATAACAAATCAGACCCAGATTTTTCGAGTCTCGCAGCGAAACGGCAACGCCAAAGAGCATAAAGCCAGGCAAAGCCCAGACTATGGATGCCATCTTGTGGCGATTTTGCTATGTCATGTATTCGGACGTCTTGCGGAGAGTAAGAAAGTCATTTCTCAAATACATTCCGTGATTCGTATTTACATCCCACTCCAAACAAGACGCTAGAAAAGACAATTACTAATACATAAAGATCTACTTTTCTACTGAAAATGACTATTGTAATATCTATTCTAGTGCATACGATACTAAAATACATAGATTTTGATACCCTGGGGAGTGGTCGTTCCCTTGACACCTACAGCAGAGGGCGTAGTCGTTTCCTTGACATTTACAACAGAGGGCGGCACTGAGTTTGTCTCTGATTTTTCCATCGTCTTTTTCATTTTAAAGAGCTTACTTTCCATTTCGTCTAACTTTTCCGTTAAATCTGCGAAACATAAACGAAAACAGAATTTAAATTGAATCCTCAGTTTTACAGTCCGTATTCAGTAAATATTCTGTAATAAGGTATGTACCCCACTCTCTCTCTGGTTGAAAATAGCGCCATAAAAATATGAATGGATTTATATTCTTATAATAAAACGATTGTTAGAAGACATGTACAAGACCGTTTGACAAATATAAAAAAAATTGCAAACGTATTTCAAAGGAAAATATATCGTGGACACAAACCTTCCAAAGCCTTCTCTTCTTCTTTTGTGCACGGTCCTTCCTGAAATGGAACAAAAGAGAAATGTTTAAATATATATGGATATGAAGGCTGCACATCCGTGCAGTAATGCCTTAGCTGAGCAGGTTTTCCAATGAAAAACTGTTCCCACGGAATGAAGTGAAAACACAAAATCTGGGATAATAGTATGTTTTGAACCTTCAGTACTTATAGATGTAAGAAATTGCTAGAAAGTTCAATATATAATTTTTGTTTTCAGATTTCAAGCAAAACAGTTTAATTTCTAATTTCTATAAATAATACCAACAATATGAAACTACTACTGAAGCTCTCACCGTAACGTTTTTCCAAGTGGGTTTTCCGTCACAAACCATAGGAATCCAGCATTTCTCACCTGTCAATAAAAAATTAAAATTAGAAATCGAGCAAAATGATCATTTTAAAATAGGGTCATACCAGATAAACGAAAGGTATGTTACTGAACTTTTTTCACATCGAGACTAATTCAGTACCTATTTACTTATGGCGCGCATTCGCTCATTCCATATTTAATTTCATAATGCTGCGCCCGTCATGCGAACGCACTATTTTTCCTCGATGATGATTGATCGAATCAAATTTGAACTATTATGCCCGCCATCGGGGAACCTAATAATGTTTAACGTTACTGCAAGCATGGTCTAAGATCTGTTCGATACCCGCGATTCAGTTTCGAGAATCTGAGAATCGTAACAATTCTTTCAGGCTAACAATGAACTCAGGAATAAACAATAAATTCAAATTCCCTCATAGTTTGCTGCTCTGGACCTTCTTCAGGATTCACATAGTTCCGAGTACTTCTGTAGTTTATTCAACATCTTTCGATGAGATTTATTTGACGTTTTGCACGTCTTTCCACCCGAACAAGACTCTGTGTTAACGGCCATGATACGTTATTAGCTGGTATATTTCAGACGGGCAACAATCTTGTTGATTCGGCATTACTTATTCAGTTTACAACACTTTGGGTGAAGTGGTGTATAGAAAACTGAACCCGACATTCTAACCCGCGATGCCAAAATATCCAAATTCAAAGATTCACCAATGGGCCACACGACCGCTAATCTACGATCGAATTTTCTCTTCTGTACATAACGATTACAATGTATATTACGATACCAAAATTTTAGGTTTAAAAACTGAAACATTCCGTATGAGGTAATCCTCTCATCGAAGATTTAAAACCAAAGCGTTGTATTGCATACTCGTATATATATTATGATGAAGGAACGGCCATTTGGCACAATCATCCTTTATTTTTATAGTGGCCCCAGCTTTTGGAGTGCAACAAAGGTCTAGTTAGAATTTCTTCGTAACTAATCCAACCTTTAACGAGTGATCGATGTTTGCCATATTATTACACCGTCATACTAGCTTCCTCTATGCTGGAATAAATAAGTATTCCGCCTGATAAAAATATGTAATCCGAGGAGCAAAAAACTAATATTTAATTTTCGCGAGAAAATCAAAACCCAGGCAAGCACAGCATGCACGGCTATACTGACCTTTAATCAATAAAAATGCCTCCATAAACATAAGAAGAATGTATTGAATCGAAATCTTCATTTTAAATCCAAAATGCTTCAAATTTGCTTCGATGAAAGTCGATACCCGAACAGGGTAGGTCAGAATGAAGCTTCAGTCTATTCGCGTCGGAATATATCCTATGCACGCTCACTCACTTTCCAGAGCGAGAAGAGAAATTGTTTTCTCTCTTTTAAATTGTAGGATACGTGTTGCGTCACAAAAAAATGTGAGTTTGGTAAATGCTGCTCTTTCAGCTTTATGAAAAGATAACGAAGACGTCACTACCGCGCCCGTGAGAGTAATACTTGGTTGAAATTGTTGGCAATTGCCAGGGTTATACTAGTTTAAAATGGCAGATATTTCAAACGTTCATTTCCTGAAATCAAACAGGTCCAAAAAGTTAAAAACAAGTTGAACAGGTTAAAATATTATTTATATCGATCACTCTCAGTCGAACAGAAAATATCAGTGGTTGATGTTATGTTATCCACGTGACCTTTCCTGCTCATGTCCAATTGCTGAGACTGTTTTCTGCATAGCTTTTATGTTCGCCGACCATATGCCATTGGGCAAATAAAATATAACTTTGAATATATATCAGTAAAAGACCTGATTCTGCAATTAATCGAAGTACTTTCCAGATTTTTCTGAAAACTGAGACAACACACATGATATTGCAAGTAAATACCGCGATTCGAAGACATGTAACACTTTGAGCCACGGCTTTGATGACAATTTTTATCATTAAAACTGAGTTAATACTCATACATTTTCATAAAAATATTGTGAATCGGATATAAAACATCAATCGGGATTTTAGCTTCGCTTGGAATTTTGATCAAAATTTTTTTTCTATATTTCTCAGAAAACTGGGACAACACAAATAAAAATGCGTGGAATTACCGTGATCCATGAAAAAAACACGCTGGACTTTCTTTCTTAGGGTCGGTGATCACTTGACCAAGTGACCTCAACTCCGAAGTCGGGACTTGAAGTCGGAATAACAGATTTTTTCAGGGCCAGGTCTTGTACAGGTTAGACCAGCGTTTCCCAACCTTTTTCGGTCGCGGACTATTTTCTCACAGGCGAAAACCTCTGCGGACTCAAAGTGCGTTTATTGCAACCGTACTCTGTGTGAAGAAGCAATAAAACCAAACACAACAGAAATTTAACAAATTTCAAAATCGGAAATTCGCCGCAATTACGCGTTCGTTAAAATACTTTTTTGGTGTATAATGGACTTTTCTGTCGCACAATATTCAATCCATGACAACGACGAGAATTTAAAATGTCTTTCTATTTTAATTTAATTGTGTTCATGGTAACTCGTGGTTGCGTCGGCTTACGACAAGATAAAAGCATTACTTCTTTAAAATTCCACGGCCCTCTGCGAACATAATAATGAGAGAATATATTGCCCGATTATATTCAGATTGGATATATATATTTTGCGATCTTGCGAATTTGGTATCGCTGTTAGAAAAATGCCTACTATCTGCGATAAATTTCCAGAATGTACAACTTAATTTAGTATTCATAAAAAATATATTTGAAGTATATTAGTAAATCAAAAATACATATTCATCGCCTTTAATTCTCGCGAACACCTTCTGAAGTAATCGTCGCGTATACGTCACGCGCGTATACGACTTTTCAATGATTTTTTCTGTTGCATAAAATATTCAATCCATATGTGTGATTCTTTTAATGTGCGGTTGTGTTGACTAAATAAGGGCAATACTACTCAGAGAATACCATGACAATCCGTGGACACAAAAATGCGTAGTAAAGTGCCTGATTATATTTTGTTTTGATTCGTATTTTTGTGAAATCTCGTATTCGTATTTTTTTATTCGTTTTTTGTGAAATCTGAGCTGTTCGTACAACACTTACGGCGCTCCATTACTACTGTACGTGCCAATGTGAAAGCAGTAAAGCAAAGAATTTTAAAGGAAAATGTCCTGGTACGTATACGACAGTAGCACTCGAAATTTTGCGAATTGCAATGTCTAAAAAAGCGTCTTAATCGGTCGCGGACCGCTTTTCAATTTAGAATATTTGGGTTGCCACCATTTACACCTACCAGAAAAGAAAACTTATTCCTTGTTGTTCGAACTCGCGAGAAACACCAATTACTTATCTATCGAAGCGTGTACGTATAGACTCTTGTTTTCGTCAAAAGTCCGCAAGAGTTGTGAAATCCAATCGTTTGATTGAGCGACTCGCAAATGACCTGTCGCGTCACGTGTTACCAAATTTTCGAATAGTGAATTGCTATTCTAATAGTCGAATATGTGATTATATGCCCAACCCTACTCAGTAACCGGTAATTGTTGACTCGATTATTAGTATGGGAATAAACTGGCTTTTTATATTTTATGTAAATTCTAACGTAAATCGTAACTTGGCTGATAGTTAATTAGGTTTCGCAAAAACGTTTGCGGCCCGCAGTGTATTTCAGGTTCGTTGCGGACTCAATCAGACGCTCTGCGGACTCATTTGAGACCGCGGACTCGGGTTGGGAAACACTGGGTTAGACACTTATGCGAATTTATATCATCTAAAGTTCTAGAACAGTAGTGGCCAATCTGCGGTTCGCGAGCCGCATGCGGCGCTAGCTCCGATTACATGCGGCTCTTTTCGCCATGGTTATTTGAAGAAAAATCGTTTCGTCGATTATTACGTCATAATCCAATTTTTTGTTGTAGAGCTGTTGTGTAAATCATATCGGAAACATGTTTGGCTGCAAACGCGCAGTTTACCATTTGAGTGAAGTAATTGAAGTGCAAATAAAACGTCACAGATTACGTCGTCGACGACTCGTATCATTTTAAGCCAGATTGTTTGAAATTTCATCCACTTACTTAGTCTCAGGCCCAAACTGAGTTTAAGATGATTGTTCTTTCCGAGGAATACCAACTGAAACGCACTTGAAGGGACGGAAAGGCAAATTTAGTTATGATGAGGTATACCAATGGAAAATACCCCATGTCAAACGAGCTGAGCTTAGGCTATCGGTAATGAATGGGTCAACATAGGTCTTCGAATCCTCTAACCTAAAACACGTGAAATCAAAGCTTTGATCAGTTCTGACAAAGACAACCATGTGAAACAACTACATACTACATAGCTATCATAGCTACAACGACATACAGGCCAGATTTAAAGAAATATTTTTCAGCCTAAAGAATGCGAGAAGACACACTAAGCTAAGTAGCGTGCGTAACAATAAATGGTTTGTAAATTTCTGGTATAACCATGTTGTTTCATGACATTTACAATAAACAAGCATTCTAGCTGAGCTGATTGAAGGTAGATCTGATAATCATGTATGTTCTTGTTCATAATGTGGCTTTTCGAGGTAATAAATAATCCCTGTTCCAAAAGAGTGATGTTCATTGTGATCAAACTTTTAATTAAGAGAACATTTTATACTTGAGAAATCAGCAATTACGATTTTAGCATCAAAATTGATT